CCTGGTACACTGTATGACCTGTGGCGCCAGTATGTGGCAACCTCTGGCCAAACATGCTCTTGGCAATGTTTCCACAGTTGTTATCGCAAGGACTTTGCACACAAACTGTCCTTTAGGGACCGCTACTTGTTCTCAGTTTGCCCAGTTTGTGTTCAGCACAAGCTTCTCATCCGACACATGGGCTCGGACTTGAACCGGCGTGTCCGGCAGCGGAGTCTGTATGAGCGACATCTAGCTCAGCAGCTCTGTGACAGAAAGTGTTACTGGGCATTGAGAGCATCTAGCAGACTTTGTTCGAAGCAGGTCTGTGCCATCATAGATGGCATGGATCAGGGTAAGTATGCAACACCTCGCTCCAGAATATTTGATAGCCACTCTTTTGACAAATATACAAGACCACGGCTACACGTGTGGGGCTTGTTGTGCCATGGATACATGGCCTGCTTGTCAGTGTCTGACGCTGACGTTTCGAAGGGGGGATCCACAACTGTGGAATTGGTCCTACACATGTTGTCAACCCTGGCCAAACATGGGGTTGAACTTTCTGACATTGAGCTGACCGTACAACTGGACAACACGGGCTCCAGCAACAAGAACAATTGTGTCCTTACCTTCATGAGCTACATCACCCAAAAAAAGAATAGTGCGGACTGCTAGGGTGTGCTTCCTTCGCACAGGACACACCCATGAGGACTGCTACCCCAAAGCTTTCAGTGTGGGATTTTGATAGGCTTTGATGACCATAATCCACCGCAGTGCACCCACCAGGATATCGATCAATGGTTTGGAGCCCTCTCCCGACCCATGACCAAATATAAAATATCACCTTTTGTTTGTTATTTGTTTTTCCCTCTAGAACTTTTGGGGGTTGCTGTGTTCTGCACCAGATTGGAAACCATTGAGGATTCATCAAGGGCAAAGTTCCCGTGGCTGAATCCCCAAACCATTTGATTGACATCATCAACGCGAAGTTTATGACTCAGCCAGACAACCGACCACATGAGCCTCTGAAGACATGTTTCAAGCTCGACTATGTCCATGACTACAAATCATGGTTTGAACATTGTGGCAAAAAAACTGTTGGGATCTTTGGGCCATCAGCCCCACACCTCTTTGAGTTTCATCTGCGAAGCAGTGATTTGGCATTAATTGTTGAAAACTAGCCCATATTGTTTTGAACCCTTAAGGAACACACGCTAGGTGGATACCGCTCTATCACATGTTCTCTCCTCGCTATCTGAGGTTTGTCGATTGGTGATCCTCTGCGATGCGAAGGTGGCTCAACGGACACAGTGCTGCTGTCGCCCGGCGCAGCTGGTCAAACTCCCCTCTTGACTTTTTAGTTTTGAATTTGGGTGCCTTTGATATGGTTTTCTAATAAATCAAGTCTTGTTGGGCCGACACTCTAGGTGCAAGCAGTGGATGAGCGATGCCCGATATTGCGCCCGAATGACACACTTGACGGCCGAAGATGTCTCCAAGATCCCTGGAACTATGCCAACAGGCCACTGCAGCCATCAAAATTCCCATTGTTCCCACAACATGTAGATACACCAGGAATCAAACCTTTGTCTTTGTACCTTTAAGTATCTATACCACTAAATATAGCACCCACAAACCCTTTTTGTTCACTGCCCAAGCAGGATTCTTGGCCCGAAGACCAAAGAACAAGAAGTACACCAACATGATCATGGGGTTGGCCGACGCTGTTGGAGCTAGCCCTTTCAATCTGGTTGCTGCTGCTTCCTACTTGCGGGATTGGGTGAGTGAGAGGTTGACCCTTCAGCCTCCAATAGACGTTTCAGTCCTTGCTTCCCCTCGCCTACGAGGCGCAGTTGGTTCTATGGATGGTGCAGTTGCAGGTGCAGTTGTGGCCTTGGAGCCCAACGTTAGCGATGTGAGGGTTGAAAGAGCTTCAGTGAGTTTACCTCCTCAGGTTGTAGTGGACCCTCGTATGGAAGTAATTTGTGGTATGGCCAAAGCCCTTCACGCTGAAGGCAGTGAATGGCTCCATGCATTCCGAAAGGCCTATGAGTTGTGGGACAAATTGAACCCAAATGTCAGGAACGCTTTGAATGTTTCCGAAGGAAGCGTTCAACATGAAGATGTTGTTGGAAGGGATCCTCTTCCTTTGGTTGAAGACCAACTGGAAGATGATGCTGCTGTGCCACTCGAGGCAGAGCTTGACCGCTAAGGTGAAACACTCGCTGTCAGATGCTGTCAGCTCAAACCTGCAAGCCGGTTGCAGTCCCAAGCTACTAGCAATCCTAAGCCATCCTAAGGGTTTCTTTGTCATCAAACTTAGAACTTATTAAAAGCTATTCCTTGGCATTGGTCAAGGCATGAAGGACTGCAAATGTGCCACAACAGTCTCAGCTGTCTATCCCTAGGTAAACTGTTGAAAGGAAACCTAAACATGAGAAGCCCTGGTCTTCATGTTTCATGTTACTGAAGGCCGTGTTCGAAGTTGCGAGCTTCTTAAACTCATTGACCTTGCTTCTTGCCCAAGTGTGAGGGTAGCAAAGGTAGAGTTTCAGTAGAGTTTCTGTCATGGCTGACACACAGGTGTTTGACAGCCAACTGTTGACTGATAGTGATGTTGATGTTGCTCCACCTCCAAAGATGGCCCGGCTTAAGTCCAAAGTCTTCTCGAACTGTGTGCTGCAGAACTTGAGTGACAGTGATGGCGAGGAACCGTATGACATCGAGCCCCCAGTCTCCCATGAGGGTTCTCACGTTGAGATCCGCGAGGTTCGGGGGCGTGCCTTGAAGATGGCAGAGATCTTCTCTGGCAGCGGTGTCCTTGCCAAGGAAATGGAAGGCCTCGGATTCAGCGTTCGCTTGGTCGACTACCAGACTGGTGGGGAGGCCCACGACATCAGCCAGGAAACCATAGTTTCTTGGCCTTTGTTCTTTTGTTTTTTGTACTTTCTTTTTTTGGTGGAAGCTCCACTCTGGTTCTTGCAAATGGGGATTGGCATCACTTAATGACACCTTTTGGACCTAAGTGGGGTTCTTAGAAGACTAGGCCTTGAAGATTGCTTCGGAGCTTGTGGAGGAGAAGACTCACTATGTGCATTTTGCTCCACCCTGCAACACATTTTCCCAGGCAAGGTATCCTCGGCTAAGGACCGCGAGAGGGCTAACAATCAACTCAAGTGTGTTTCCTTTCCAAAAACGTTGTGGTCTTGGAAATAGAATCAAGGGTGCTTCATTGGTCTCTGAAATCATGGGAAAGGAATGGGTTTGGTTTATGTTTACATGTTGAACGATGATTGTCAGGACCAAGGCCTACCCCATGGGTGTCCCTGGAATGGAATTGGAACCTGTCTTGAAAGTTGCCAACGCCATCATTGTCAACATGTGCAAGATGGTCAAAGTTCTCTCTGACAACCATGTCTTGGTCACTATTGAGAACCCGCGGGGCTCGGTTCTTTGGCATTGCCCACCCATCGTGAAGCTCTTACAGGACCATGGCAAATATGTCCAAATGTGTTTCTGAGGAAAAAGGTGTTGGAATGAACATGTGATCTAAAGAATGTGTTGGAATGAAAATGTGATCTGTTGTAACACCTTAAGGTGTATGTGACATTGGCCTTTTCAGGACCAGCCTGAAGATGCGAACTGGTCTACTGTGGACATTGACTACTGCATGTATGGGGCCCCCTACAAGAAGCGCACGCGGCTGCTGACTTTGCAGTGGCGTGTTGACCCAAGTGAGGTTGATGGCATGTTGTCCTCGCTGGGTCGCAAGTGTGATGGTCTGCATGAGCACGTTGTGCTGAGTGGTTAGGGCAAGGCTGGGCAAAAGTCCCGCCCAACAAAGGGAACAGCCAAGTATCCCGCCCAGCTGGCTCAATCTTGGGCCAGGGCCATGGCCCATCATATCCTCCACTAATCCGGCCAAGCTGCGCCAGCGCCAGCGCGCCACAGCCAGTAGCAGAGCGTAGGGTTGTTCTCGGTCTTCCTTAGATGGGGAGCTTTCCCATATAGATGCGCGCTGAGGGCAGGCTAGGCTGGAAAGTTCCTCCAATGTTGCCCAAAATATGGATTACAAAGGGTGGTGTCTGGGAAGAATATGTTCTAAGAACATTTGGTGGGAATGTCTACTCACACTATTCTTGCTTTGGGTGCCACAACCTTTCCAATTTTGTTTGGGCTTCCAATTCAAGATGGCAATGTCTGAAGCTTCTCGAGCTGGTGGTCACATGGCTCCACGCGAAGTTTAAGCAAAACCTGCTGGCTACCAGGTCCTGTTGAAATTCTTCCAGGTTTGTGAGCAAATATCCTTTGATTTGGAAGCCATGTGTGCCACGAGGTGGAAGTGGTCTAGCCACTTCTCAAGGTTTTGAGGTGGAAACGCCTTTTTGTAGAGCCCACAACGTTGGTCTGCAATATCGCCACACACCCAACAAGTATTGATGTTTGTTTTTGGGTTGCCATTTCTCCTTTTGGCCAAGAACTATTTGAGGATGTCAGGTGGGCCCTGCATGGTGGCGTAATCTTAGCGCAAAGCAAATTAGGGAAGTAGCGACGCAGTCTTGATCAAAATCTTGGCGCCCTCAGACTCAGTCTTCTGTCAGCTCAAGGATTCCAAAAGCAGCGATGCAAGCAGAACATATATGCAAAAGAACAAGTGCCAATCTTGAGTCAAGATTTGGGATCCTTGGATCTTTTGTTCCAAGCCCCATGGGTGTCAAACTCTCTACCAGCGTCCATAACCAACCACCACTAACTCATGTTTATCTTTATCTACTCGATGTTGCTCGGAAAATGTGTGCTTCAAGTGGTGGGATTCATCGGAATCTTCATTGACCCTGGCCGTGCCAGTTTCTGAGGATGTTGGATGAGGTTCCTCGGAAAAAGCCTGTTCGGCCCAGGGAACACCCACTGCCAACTGGCTACTGTTTCTGAAGTAGTCTAGCTGTAACAAAACATTTTCAGAGGAACCTCATCCAGGTTCCTCGGAAACCAGTGATCCCACGAGACTCATAGTTTCTGAGGAATGTGAAACAATGTCCATGTATGTTTCTGAGTGGTGCTCGGAAAAAACATCGACCCCTCCATAATTCAGCTATCTTGCCTTTCAAGAACCCAGAGTGCCAACTGGCAGCAGCTTCACGAAGTTGCGATGGGAGGCAAGCGACCCAGCAATGGTACCTCGAACCGGGCACCCAAGAAGCCAAAGGCTTTAGATGACTTGGGCGATGCAGTTGAGAAGGAGAAGGACGTCATAGCTACTTTGCCTTTTTGGGACACCCTCATGAACCAAGTGGATGAGACCTTCACCAAATTTGGATCGATTTCGGAGTTCTTCATGAAGTCTTTCCCAACCTTGGAGGAAAGAAAGGCACTCTCTCAAACCCTTATCGACCATTTTGGAGCTACTGAGACCCTGGACTCTGACTTCACTGCGGGGATCAAATCCTTTGGTTTGTGGCAGATTTGCCCACGCATCGAGGCTGGAAACAAAGGGTTGGTCATCAACCAGTTCCACAAACACCTGATCATGTTGATCTTGATTCAGGGCCCACGCACAGATGCAGCGACGTCACCAGGTGTGGAGTATCCTGTGATTCAACCTCTAGTGGAGGCCTACTTCGATACCCCTTGGGAAACTAGTTCTTTGCAGGCGGGCACCTATGATTGCCAATCCATCGGCTTTGTCAAAGGTTGGACTAGGTGTGTGGCAGCCCTCTTTGCGGCGCATCTTCTCATCCAGAACGACTTGGTTGAGCACTACAGGGATCACTTGCCTGAGGCCTACAAGAACTTTTGTCTTCTCAAAGGCTTAGTGACTGCGGACTATGCTTCTGAGCTTGACCGAATCAATGCGAACCGGGGTTCCTTGGTAAAGGTTTGGGTGGATGATGTTTCCCACAAGTCTCCACAAGAGTTTGGGGAAATAAATGAGTGCTACCTAGTTATATGTATAAAAATAGTCTTACATATTTGATAGGTTATCTGATACCAGTTCCAACCCACACTAGAAATCTAAACACTTTTTGGCAAGTGCCCTTTTGTACTTTTCTTTTTAGTGGCGCAAAGCATAAAAAGGGCACTTGATGTTGAGAAGCTGGAGCCATCTTTTTGCAGTTTCAACATGTTCCAACTAAGACTTGACAATGGGGTCTGTGATGACTCGGGCAAAGCCCAATTGCTTCAATGCGCTACACCAGATCTACCGACGCTTGAAGCAGGGCAAGAAATTGAGCTCAGTGGTTGGCAACTTTGACAGTGGAAAGATTCCAAAGAGCATCTTTGGAATGGGGGCACAGGAGTCAGGCGCCATTGTGAACCTCGTGCACCACTTGCCTCTGGAATGTCGGGCGATCTTTGGCAATGCTGTTGCGGAGTTTGGCATAGCCAAGGGGCCTGTGACACATGCTGCCATAGCAGCTCCTCACATCCGAGTGGGATACCAACCTGACCTGATGGCTGAGGAATGGAGCATCAACCTGAGGAACACGGAGGAGTCTGTCACCAGGGCAGCAAAGAGGCTTGTTGAGGACTACCGGCAAGCGCCGCCAGGCCTCCGCAAGTCAGCAACTGCGCCGGATGTTGCAAAGATGGCTCGCATCAGCAGGGCCTTTGACTTGCTTCTTGGTGAATTTGCTGGCAAGGTCCCATCGAGTGTCTTTGAGGCTGAGAAGCCTTCACTTGTGTCATTGTTTGAGAACCGGGTTTTGGACGATTACTTGTACACTTTGACGGAGGAGTGCCCAGCGCAAATTGACTTGACCAAAGTCAGTGAGATCGGGGTGATCCTTGCCAACAACAAAGCTGCTCAAGAGAAGGACTTGGGTTGAAATCAAAACATATCAAAACTGTAGTTCTGGTCACTGTTCACTTCCATGTCCCTTTTCGATCGAATGACATTGCAGGAAGCGGTTGAGAAGTCCAAAGTTCTTCACCTTCAAGTGCAAACTGCCACCTTCCAGAAGATGGTCAATGATCTGGAGGGTGACATCGAGGCGTTGACTGATTGGGTGGCATTGGAGGTCAAGAGGAAGAGCTCTTGGCAAGCCATGGTTCTGACACACGCCAGGAGGCGTTATGTTCGTGGTCTTGAGCGGGTGCGTGAGTTTGCTGAGGAGAGTCTGCGGGTTCGCGCTGGAGCGCTTGAAGGTGCTGCGATGGAGTTGGCTGATTTCCGTTCCAACCTGGAATCTGCAAGTAGTTTGAAGTGCTCTCCTGATTCGAGGTGTGGGTTGATGTTACCGCATCCCATGTTCATCAAAACCCCCTCATTTTTTGGTGCATTGCAATTGCTTTATTTAACTCAAGGTTTGTTTCTGGCTGCTTCCCAGTGAAGGTTCCTGCTGATGGTCTTGGACATGAGCGTTCCACCCAACCTGTCTGAAATCGATGCTTTGATCCGTCAAGCTTCATCGATCCTGCGCAACTCGGTGAACAATGCTTTGCTGGTGCTTTTGCCCCAGAGGTATTCTGGGCAAACAGTGAAGTCCAACTTGAACGCCACCCGCAGGATTGAAGATGCACTTTTGTCAAATGGTCTCAACATGGACACTGACATTGCAGTGCACTTCTCTGTCGATGCCATGCATGGCAACGACAAGCGACCATTGGGGGCTCGCTGCCGCCTTTGTGTGAGTGACAAAGTTCCTGAGGGTGTAAATGCTTGGTTGTCTGGTGTGGCTGCCCGGGGAAAGCTTGAAGTGCCCCTCTTGAGGATCAAAGAAATGAAGAGGCTGACGCCCCCAAACCACATAGGGGACTCAGTTGAAGCTTATAGCTTGTCGCCAGCAGAAAGGTGCCAGCAAAAAGGGTTGAAAGCAGCTGCCACAATCATTGAGACCCTCATTAGTGGCACAGCCATTGCGTCTCCTGAGTGCCGGCTGGACATTGTTGAATTGAACCTATTGGCAGTCCCTGATTGGATTGAGGCAGCTTGGCATTTGAAATACTCTTGGGAGTCTGATTCTGGCAAGCCGCGCATTGCCTATTTTGGATTTGCCCGGGACCTAGCAGTGCAAAAGGCAGTTTGTGGGCACATGGAGGCGATCTTGATGCAGGAGTGGTGGGAGGGTCATCCTGATGCAGGTCCCAAAGAACCTGATAACAGCAACCCAGTGGAGAAGCCGTCCTTGGTTCTTACATCTTGGGATGGAGAGGTGCCTGCCTTGTCTGAGGTTGTGATCTGCAAGTTCGATGGGGATGAGGCCTATGGTGAGAAGTGGAATGGCAAGGTCTCTTCTTTCCGTGACTTTGTGCAAACGACTGTCGCTCCTATCATCAAGAAGTCTGTTGGAGGTAGCGCTGAAGGTGGACCTGGTGCAGTCGCAGCTGATGGTCCTGACATGACTGTTGGCGATCGCCCAGCTTCTGTTGCCGATGCCATTCTACCATCAGTGCCGCAGCACGAGTTCCAGTCGTCGGATGTGCTTCCTGACTTTTGTTGCAATCTTTTTGTTTTGTCCATTTGGTTTTATTATCCATTTCATTTGTCCTTTTATTTTGCCCTATGTGTTTTCACCTGGTGGTCTAAGGCTCTTCACTGTGAAGCCAGTTCGAAACCTTCCAGCCCTGCACATTACCAAGGACTATGACATCTACCTGTCGCTGGATGAAGCAACCCACAAGTCTACAACCCTGCAGCTCGATCCTATGGAACTTCTGGGGTTCAATGTGGGGGATGTGGTTCCATCTGAAGGTGGGGGGATAAAGATCTGAAGTGTGCAGCAATGAAATCCATTTTCCAAAACCACTCAAATTCCAACAGGCAGAGATCCAAATCATGTCCTCTTCTGGCAGTTCCGTTCTGATGTGGAGAATGTGGTGATGGTGGAGGGGGGCACCAAGACGACCACGACTTTGGCCGAGTTGCGATTCAAGGCTTTGAAGTTGCATTCCATCCCAGACCTTTCGATCCAAGGGCATCTTGTGGAACCCTTGAAGGTTGAGAAGGACCGACTTTGAAAAAAAAACTGAACAGTTTTCGAGGAAAAGCTAACACCTTGTCTTGTATGATTTGAATATACTTGAACCTTATAAGATCAGCAAGTCGGCAAAACTTAAATCCTGACTCCAGGATTTTTTAAAAAATCTGGGAGTCAGGAAATTGGAAAAGTTGGTCTCTTCAAGTCTATTTCTAACAGCTTGTCAAGGACGGCGAAATGGTGGAAGCCTTCATGAGGTGCAAAGTCCAACCAAACTTGAGGGGTGGGAAGATCCATTTTTCCCCAACAGCATTGACTGATGCTCAAATGGCTGAAGGGTCATTGAAGCGGGCTGCATGCGGTGCTTGTTTCCTGGGGCGTATGACCAAGCTAAACGGCTTGACTCACGCCAAGATCTTGTGGGATGTTCAGCTCAAAGTGGAGCCCCCAGCGTGCATCAAAGCATTGAAGCCAAAGCTCCATTTGACTTCTCGGGTGAAACTCGAGAAAGGTTTCTTTTACAAACTGCAGTAGGGTGGGTGTTCCCTTGGAAGATACCTGTGATGCCAATGGACGATGTGGACATCCCTTTTCTGATTACTAATGTGTTCTATGTTTACTTCTCAATCCATCCAATGAAGATTCCTCAACACAGTTTCCTGTTTATTCATGGCTTTTGGGCTCACCCCAAAACAGCGCAGTACTGTCCATTGTAGGTTTTGGGCTTGGCCACGCAGACTTGTTCTAAAACCACAAGTTACTTCCAATATCACTTGCCTAATTTCCCACAACCAAAAACTAGTGATATATAGTTGTTTGTCCAGTGCTTCAGCCGTGGCCAAATAGGTATAAGTCAAAAAAAGCAGGAGTGCGTGAGATCATGCGCTCGAGACCTTCTGTCCTGGGAGCTCACTGTTTTGCAGTGAGAGGGGTTGGAAAAGGATTGCGCAGTGCAAAGCCTGTACTAACACAAGTGGAACAATGGTGTCAATGGAATGCTTTTGCCCTCGGAAGCAAACAAGGTGCACATGGCTCAAAACTCAAGGATCTTGTTTGGCTGTTGGCGCCTAACTTGAATTGTCAACATGTACAATTCTGTGGATGTTTTGTCTGAGAGTGGCAGTGATGGTGGTCCTGCGCCGCAAACAGTTCGACCAGAAGTTCGACCAGAATCCAAACCGGAGCCCCGACCCAAGAAGCAGCCTAAGCTCCAGCCGAAGCCCAAGAACTCCCCAGGTCCTGTACTGCAAGAAGGCCCCCAAATGTATTCTATGATGTTGGGGCTGGGGTTATTTCCAGGAATTGTTTATTTGCTTTAGGTGTTAGTATGTGTTAGTCCACACCCCCACATACTTTCCAACACGTGCCCTGGTGAAGGTGATGCTCCAAAGCCACCTCCTGTTTGCAAGAAGCCAGCGGCTGCTGTCAAGGGGCGAGGGAAGGGCTCGAAGTCCAGTGGAGAGACCTTTGGCGCCGGCGCTGCTGAGCAAACCCCCCAAGCTCAGTTCTTCTGCAAAACAGAAAGGACCCGGAACAGTGCGGCAGTTCGTGGGCCAAAACCGGGCGACGGGAAGGAACACCAAGTTTGCCAGGCCCAGGTTTCCCAATTTTTTGCCAACAATCTTGGCTTTCAATGCTGTTTTGAGTTGCCACCTCTTGGGTTCAAGAATAAATAGTTTCCATCAAACCGTTTCATGAACAAACAGTTCCCCCCACATTTCAAGTGGTTCCAAACAGGTGGCTGTGAAGGGCGCCACATTGGAAGAAAACCTGGGCGTCGCCACTGTGTTGACTGGTCTCTTCAATGAGGGAAAGTCGCATGAAGATGTCATGAAGATTAGGGAGACCATGATCAGCGACCTCAAGAAAAGGATCTCTGAGCGTTGCCCAGCTTAGATCTTCTGAATCAGCTAAGATGCTGCTACCAGCCGTCAGCCTTCCAGCAGAAATTGCAGTGCAGCCAGCTGGCCATTGCTCAGGTGGTACCAGCGAAGTGCCTAACAATACATTGAACAAATAAAGGTTTTGAGTCATTCCAACTCAATGCAGTGCTGGTGAGATCGTGTGTTTTAAGGTTTTTCTACCATCTCTCATGGCTGGCCCCTCGCGCAGGTGGATATGGATGCCAGCGAGGTGGTGTGGGATCTGTGTACTTGGGGAACACTTCCCAGCAATAGGGTTGATGAGATGTACATGTACAAAACCAACGAACTACATGAACCATCTCTTAACAGAGCATTAGGCTGGTAGTTAGCTTGGTGGAAGTGCCAAAGATCTTTTAAAAGAATCAACACCAGCGCGCTTCACTGTGCCAAAATTTGGCAACGACACGCC